CGCCAGAGGAGCGGCGCACGGGGAGCCAGTGCTTCCCGGGGGGAAGCGGCCCCGTCCAGCTGCGCCTCCCCGGGCTGCGCCTGCTGGAAGCGCTCGCCCTTTTCCGGGCGCTCCGTACCCTGAGGGATGGGGCTTGGTTGCGTCTGAGGGAAGGCAGGAGCAGGAGGGAGAGGAAAGAGCGTTGTGAGAAGCGATCGTGGCAAGCGAATACCTTCACCTTTGACGAGAAGTCCTTTGAAAGGCTGTTTAAGGCGCTTGGGCACAACGTGGGTGTAACTCACGCGAACGGAAAATACCAAGATGCCAGATAACAGCTGTAGGCTGAAGCGGCACGGACAGCCCCTCTGTTTCTAAACTTACAAGTGCAGCATGTGAGTTTTGCTGGAGGATCTCACTTTGCTTTCTTAAAGTTCATCAATAATGTGCAAGTCTGTTAAACAGTCCAGTATTTAAAACCAGACCGCAGGTTGCATGTGTAACAACAAGCTTTCTACAAAGCCAATACATTTGCCCACACTCCTCCTGTGGGTGTTGGAGAGAGCTATCTCAGAGCACTTAAGCTACAAAGCAGTTCAAAAGCTACGAACTGCTACAACTGAGATGGTCTAACAAACGCTGTTCTGAAAGAATGAGTCAGTCTTTATGTATAAGTTATGATGTGAGAATGTAATTAAAGGACCTCTGCCTCACACCTGAGCATAGCCAACTACTCACTTTGCAAGTATTTTTTTTTTTGTCTCCTATGTCCTATTTAGTAAGCAGTATTAAAGACCAGTTGTAACAATTCACAGTCCATTTCCTCATAGGTTTTCCAAGGTATTCATCAGTATAGTATCTGAATGTACTTATTTCTTTCACACTTCCGTGAAACTTCAGTGTGAAAGAAATAAGTACATTCATCCCTCTTTCAGATAGGTAGGTGGGCTGAAACAAGAATTACTAATTTTAGGTTCCCCTGGTGACATGTTAGAACCTTATTTTACCTACGACTACTTAAAATTACACTGAACTTCAACTACTCAAAGCCTGGCTCTCACGGACTATTGCAGTAGTTTGGTATTCCAACCCCAGGATATTCAGCAGGCAGGGGACATACTATAAGTAAACATCAATAAGTATTGTTTTACAGTGATTAAACTAACCTCATGCTGAACCTCTGTGGCAGCTGCAAGAATAAAATCCAGTTTTCCAGAATAGCATCCAGCTGCCTTAATTAGAGATTCTCTTTTGTCTTCTTGCACTTTTCAAAATATTTTCCTACACAGCTTGCAAATTCACCAAACCTAATCTTTCAAATACAGGGATCCTAAGGACAAGAGCCTCAATTCATTCTTGTAACAGGTTCTGTGCACAGATGAAGCAGGGTTTGGGGGTGGGAAAAAAAGGCAATCACATGATTAAAGACCATAAGGTAAGGTGCTTGCATAATGGGGCCAACTTAAGGTCCCACCAAGCTCATTGCCCCAATTCCACTTCCTGACCTCAGCATGCCCCTATTATTCCTTCTGCATTTTGATCATCCTCTAGACTTCATCCTTTGCATGGCACAACTCTCGGCAAGAACATTAAGGAAAGCAATGAAAGACTGTTTCAGTGCTTCTGCCAGCCTAGAGTAATCATTACAGAGAGCCTGGCTTCAGTCTGATAGCTCTGAGTCAGGCATCACAGTCACCCAGTCTGTAGGCAGTGAGGAAGAAGGGAAACGCAATTTACCTGTTTCTCAATGCTTGGTCCACAGTATCCAAACAGGCAAATTTATCCTTTCAAAAAATTTTACATGTGACTGCAGCTTGTGGAGATAGCACATCAGTAGTCTGGGCAACAAGATGAGGTGGAAGAGGCCTTCCTGAAGGATTAGGGAACGAAAAAAAAAAACTCAAGTGCAAAAAACCCCAAAAGTTCTCTAATGCATACAGTTCAAAACTTTCCACTTTTGGCAAGATGCATCAGAAAGTCTGCTTATTCCCAAGATCCAAGTTCTGAACTACTGGAGCACTATGACTGTACAACAGAAATATCACTATAGGAAATCTTACACATATTTAACATCAAAAAATGTTTCTGTAGCCTCAGCCTTTGAAAGAATGGCTTAAAATTTCTTTTAAAGCCCACTAAACATCATAGACTGTATTAGGTGCTAACGATTAATGTAGTTGTGTATTGCAATTATGCAAAGCTGTGCATCTCAATAAAAATATAATTTTATATATATGCAAAAATAATTATTATGTTTGCATTGCGCCCATTGCTATGGGAAATATGACCTTTCACAAAAAATCCATGTGGCTTTAGAATTATTTTTATTTCCTCTACACATATGGAAATGTAAAGGACTGGATTTTTAAATATTATTGTAAGCTATTCAGAAAACCAGGAAAAAAGGAAAGTAGGAATGTGTAGTGGAAAACATCTTGCAAAGACATAATCATGTACAGCATTTAGCACAACTGGAACTCTGAAGAACTTATACAGGCAACAAACCAAGACAGTATGATGAAGTTCAAATTCTCCAAACATAGCAGGGGTCCAATTTGGGCAACATGAAATACAGTCTTAAAATCAAGCACAACACAAACATAATGTGATTACTTACTGTTTGTCTCAGGCTGTCTTTGGTGTTGACTTAATTTCAATCTTCAGAAAGTCACCTCATGGCTTTCAATCTCTTTGGTTTAGTCATTACAATCACAAAAAGACAACTGCATAGATTTGTTTGGGGTTTTTCTTTCTCCATCTGCTTTTTTATGGTGCCTAAAGTAGCCTTAGGATTGGTATGGGTTTGGTTTCCTTTCAACATGGTTCCTTCAGACATTACTGGCTAGCTACAAGAGTCTAGCCAAATCTTACTCAACACTTAAGAGTATCAGCAGTTGTCATTTGCAACGCTGCAGCCTTATTGCAGTTTCTTTTCAGCTGGGAGTTTACTGAACCTGTACTGACAGTGAAGACAACAGTTTCAACACTTCATAAAGATAAAAATCTGGTTATAATCAAATGGATGCTTCTGCTACCCAGAGCTGAAATGTATATTCAGAGTTGCAATGGAATGGGATATGATCATGTGCCAGCTCCACAATGTGACTGTTATTTTGACACCTAGAACTACAGGTTCCAAAGAGACCACCCAGTACACCTTATGGACCCTCTGGGAAAGCATGAGAGGATTTCTTTACCAGGAAAGCTATATAGCTAACCAGCAGATAATATCCTAGAATGGGAGCCATGACACAATAGATACTATTCACTATCTTAGGAGGAAGTGTTAGTGCCAATGGAACAGTTTTGAAATGAAACTGCAAGCGACTACACAGCCAAGGAAGCTTTAACTCCTCAAGATGTGATTTCTTTTAATCAGTGGCCATAGATGCATATACAAGTTTAAGCACTCTTGTTTCAACACCTTCTCCTCTCCCTAGATCACAGGAGGGAACAAGATCTAGGAGTAGTCACCAGTTAGAAAAGTATTAAATATTGTCTTTACGAAGCCTAGCTCTTTTTGTAAGGATTAGCTACAAACATTCTCTCTAAAGCTTTTTTTACCATTCTTACATAAAAATCAATTGTATTTCTTAGTGACTTCATGAGGTGTTTCAATCCCTTTGTTTCATGAAAATATGAGTGCTAGAGGTCACCAGCATCCCACACCTTTCAAGTTACTCAACTGTTCTGGGGACAATATTTTCCTGGCAGATCTTGCATTAACTGATTATAGTTAATCATATAATCTATTAGAATAGATTAGTCTATTAGTTAGTCCATTATAATAGGTTATATGATTATACACATTATATATATAAACGGTATAATCATCTAGTTACTATTAGGAAAATAAATACCAAAGCCTTCAATGATAAAGTCTAAATATTTTTTTCTGCTGCCTCTCTCTCTCACAAATATTATCAGTTATTAAAGGTTAATGTCTTTCCCAATCTGTAACCAGCACTAGGAGTTAAAGTTCATAAACTGTTCTCATATCAGAATAAATCATTAGTTTAATTACTAAGACAACTCTCATCAGCAGCCTTCCACTAATTTGTTTTGTGCTCATCCAACTTCTTAACAATTGCTGCAAATAGCTTGGAGCCTGCACTGCAAGGAAATGCTAACTACTACCATTCAGGGTCTTTAATGCATTAGCTCAACCTGAAGGATGACAGGAAGCCCTAAAAAAAGTCATCTGGTGTGTCTCAACATTTTTCTGCTGCCCTGGACATACTGCTTTAGTACTGACATAGGATAGTTAAAATAAAGTTCCTAAATACAATCTTGTTCTGGAGACCTAATAGTAAGAATCCCTTTAACAACAGCGAAACCCAAACAAAATGAAACAGAAAAAAAAAAAATACACAACCCTTCTAATTTCCCTGAAAATTACTCCGAGCACCCTCCCATTTCCCTACTCTACACTCACCCTACCACCCCTGCCAGTTATTTGGCTTCTTTGTCTAAAAATGGGGAGAAACAGAACTCCATCATAGACATATTTGTACAACTGTAAAGCATTACATTCCACAAAATAACAACAAAGGCAAAATTGCCTGTTACAGTAAGGAGAAAAATACTGCAATGCTCAAGGCATCTAATCTTAGCAGATTAGTGGACCTAGACCACGGAACACACGCTAGCCCTTGCCAGTTTTAAGACTGGAAATGAGTGAAGTCTGCCATCGTATGCTGCCTTGATAGGAGGAAACCACTGCAGCTATTCAGAACGTTGTTCATTATTCTGCTCACGATAACTTGGGGCAAGAAGGGACTGGGTCAAGCAGTGTGGTCCCGAAGTGTCAAAAAGAAAACTGTATTATTTTCAAGTACTGAGATTCATTATCAAAGTTTTTAAAAAAACAAAACTGTTTTATAGCTGTATGTTTGATTCAATAAAAAAAATAATTAAAGAGTGTATTTTTCACAGTTTATAGAGGCACTTTTTGTGAAGCCCATTTTAGAAATCGAAGAGGAATTCTTGAGTTAGCTGGAGCCATTAGATGTACTACAGGACGATCTCCTTTTGCCTACCTACGTTATGGATGCTACTGTGGTCTGGGAGGAAGAGGATGGCCCAAGGACAGAGTAGACTGGTAAGAGTATTTCTCTGAGTAATTAAGTGCTGAATGCATGCAGATGACAGAGTAAGTGGAATAAAAAAAAAAATTAATTAGGCCTATTTAACATCAGTGAGGGAACTGAGTTTAAACACACCTCAGACAGCTAAGAAACTCTGAAGCATTAAAATTGTGTAACTGTAGATCTACATGAGTCTTACTTGCCTTTAACTCGAACTCTCACTGCACGAATATTGGATTCACAGCAGAAATGAGTTTCTTTGCTGTTGCTGCTTGGCCAAGAGTTGAAGAACTAAAGTCTTCTTGGAGAATCTTTAAAATTCAACATTCAAGCTATGTATAAAAATAAATAAATTAAAAAATTGCAATTGAAAAGTCTTTTGATTCTACTGCCATCCATCCTATTAGTATTCAAAATAATACATAGAAAATTATGCAAAATTCAACCCGCTGAAAAAATAACTTTTGAATAAAAGGAATTCTAAATTGTTACTAAAATAATTCTAAAACCAGACCTTTGTATTTATTACTAAATCTCAGCACATTGACTACCATCAATTTAATGTATAACTAAACAGTAGCTGACAGCAAGATGATTTTCTGGTTACAGTAGCTGAAGGTCTTATATTTTCAAGTTTATCATTATAATGATACATTTCCCCACTGTATGTGACGTCTAAAGGTGTGATGTATGAGACAGATATATTGTAAATTAAAAGGAAAACAAGCATCTGATACATTTAGGGTAGAATATACGGAAAGTTCAAATCTGATTTTTTTTTTTTTTTCCATAAAGATTCTAGTTGTGAATAGACCTAAAACTTTTTGAATCTTTGCCTACACATTTCAAATTTTTGGACATGTAATCTGCTATTTTAAAGACAATTTTGTATAATGTAGTCGCTACCTTAATGACTGGGAATATATACAAAAAGAAGGGACTATTATTAGTTCTGGTCATTTTTATCCCTAAATATAATGATGGAAAATCTGCAGTTTGTCCATCTTTCATTGTAGGCCATTTTTTCCACTTTGCAGAAGTCTCACACTAGCAAGAAGCTGCTGCTTCACAAAATGTGGTTAGCTATTTTTGGTCTGGGTTTTAATAGCTACAGAACGTTAAGAACAAGCCAGGAGTGAGTACACTTACTCTACTACATTTGAACAGAATCAAGAATTGCACCAATGGAATATAGAGACAAACATTCTTATTGAGTTTGACTTCTTAAAGTTTTGAGCTACGTTGTGGGCTGTTTATATTCAGAATTATGCCTGAAAACAAGTTAAGTGAAAATACAGAAATACTTAATCTGAAGTAAGAACTTCTGAAGTAAAAACAGTTATTGCAACTTAGATGTTTGCCTTCCACTTGTAAACTTTCAAAAGGAGCCAATCATATATTGCTTTCATAAGATAAAATGTAAAATCCTTAAGCATCTATTTAAAATTCTTAAAAGAGGAGTAAAATAATTCTAAAAATTGTTGTAAACACATAAAGATAGACTAAACTATGGCAAAAGAAGCGGTATTTCCTGGTTTACTTGCCTTAGTACTGCTACAAAGACTCCCTAGAAGTAATTTTTTAAATTTTTTTTATTTATTTCCATGCATGAAATGGATGTGTTGAGCTACTTCACGGGCTCGCGCTGTTCAACTGTTACATACTGCAGGATCTTTAAATGGAGATTTGTGTGGAATTGCCAAGTAATTATTTAATAAGCATAGGAAAAAACAGTAATTGCAAGTGAGAGCTCACAGCATTACCTTTTTCTATTGCAGACACAAATTCCTCAGGCAACCAAAACACCACCTACACCTCACAGGTTGACTGTAATATGATGGGTTTAGGCTACCAGGAGGAAACTGAATGACTAAATGCAAATTGCTTGTGGATACATCATGTTCTTCCACCGAGTTAAAAAAAAAAAAAAAAAAAAAACGAAAAAAAGACTATTACTAGTTTGCAGCAAAAACTTACAAATTATTTAATTCCAGATCCTTGCTAACTCCCCAGCTTGCTATTTTGGGCTTGCAAAGACTCTACACCTGAAAAGTAATTCTTTTGTTGAGCATTAAAATATGCCATTATTAATGCTTACCTGTACTGCACAGTTCCACAGTGTGACAGAAAGTCTATATATTCCTTGTCCCAGTTATGACAAAGGCAATTTTGAAATAATTTTGGGCAATTTTCCAAATTTTTTGATCATACTGAGCAAACAGTTTTAGTTATATTACAGCATTAAGTAGCACCCGTGCCTATTTACTCCTGAAACTTTCACCTGCTCTAAGCTGCTCTGCCACCATCTAAGGATTTTGCTATCAGACAACATTTATGATAGTATGCTACAGCCTAACAGATCTTCTTGTCCCTTCTCTATTAGTAACTGTTGAAATGGCATCAATAACTGGCAGAAAAAATACATCATTTGTTATCTGACAGACTAGTCTGGCATTTAATCTTTTTCTTGGAAGGGGCTAGCAGAGAGGCATACCCATATAAAAGTTCATTGTGTTTAAAACAGAATACTTTCAAGATTCCTTGTATTTTTATCTGTGAGGAAGTTCAACTAGATCAATGTGTATCAGACATTTTCCTCATCATTGATTACATGGAAGAGTAATAATTTTTTCCAGGTGATCTATTAAATAATGACCTTGTTTTGGTTCCTGAGCAGGTAACTGTTTGTACATCCACATATGTTCACTGTTTTACTATTTCAGAGAATGTAGAAACATGCTGATAAAACCCGTCCAGATTACGTGACCACAAATCACCACAGCACGAATTAAGGCAAGCCCATTTCTGTTACTTTCAGGTGTTGCTTTAACCATGACTGCTGCTATGGTAAGGCAGAACAAGCAGGCTGTCATCCAAAGACAGAAAGTTACCACTGGGAATGCGAAGACAATGCTGCTGTATGTGGTGAGTGAATAGCTCTAGTTTTTGGTTGGTGTGTTTTTTGTTTGGTTAGTTGGTTTTTTGTTTGTTTTGTTTTTTTAACTTCTACTGACTGTCTCATTGCCTTCATAGAAAGACATTTTCCTAATTAACTTTACCATCCTTCCTTTCATGACTTTTTTGCCGGGGTAAGCTGTGCCTCCAGAAAATACAGCTATGCCAACCAACTGAATGCAGTTTCTTCTTCTTAATCCCCACCTGCTGACATATATAAGCAAACAAAATTCTGATCTTCAAGCTTCTATTACCCTTTCAGAAAACATCACCAAACCCGCCCTCCTCTTTTTACTCGGCATTTATGTATGTCAAGGAACCCATGTTATACTGCTCCCTGTAAGTCTCCAACTGGAGACCAATTACAAACAGGAGTTGAGAAAATTACATCTGTTTCAAAAGGATCTGTTTCATACTTAGCAGAAAATATTTCACACCATTTATAAGTTTATGATGGATAAGTTTTTGGCATATTTACCACTGATTGGTTGCACAACCCACTGCTAGTGGCTGCAATTTATGAATTAATTCAATTACAACTTAAAATTTCAAACACGGAGGTAAACATACTGATCAAATATTTTATTATTTATGGAAGTAACATGTCCATAAGCCATAAAATACTAATTTGAAAATATAAAACATAATCAGTGTACAAGTTGCAACAGATGCCTGACCACATCCTGATAAATTTTGTTTGATTGCTCCAAAATATGAATGTAATACACTTGTCATGCTATAGTGTAAGAGAGAAGGACAAAGAGATACCAAAGAACCAAACAAAACACGTTGAAGAGGAAAAAGCAGCATTTGTTTTCCATTACTTGTTCACAACTAGCTAAGTTTTAGCAAATATTTTCCAAAACACTTCAAAGACTTTTTGAAACTATAACTTCTGACAAGCCACAAAAATTTACAGGGCTTTTTCTTGCTGTTGTTAAGTTTTGGTTTTATTTGGTGGTGGTTGTTTTTTTTTCTTAAATCAGGTGCTAGGTCAAAGTTACTTTGCATGTAATTTTATGCTACTACCTAGAATGCAAATCAGCTTGATAATTGGTTATTACTTGCACCACAAAAATACAGACCTTAATATAAACTTGTTTACAATGAGTCAGTTTCTGACTACCATCGTTTAAAAGGCAACACAATAGGCCATTCAGTGAAACACAAAAAACCTCTTATTTCCTAACTCAATTTAGAATTTGCCTGACCTGAAATCAAATGAAAGATTTTGACATTTCCATTCCTCCCTTTCATTCAACCTTTACTTTGCCTGTCTACCTCATGCAGAATCTCTACTTGCTAATTTCCTCCTCTTCTCCCAAAGCACCAAGTCTTCTCTCTCAAGCTCCCTGATTAACTACCAAGTTACAGTCCCCCTGTATTTGGCTGTAAAGGTTCTGCTCCTGTTCCAGTCCAGAAGCTGACTATGTCTCAAAATACTGGCCAAGATAGTAGGCGTGTAATCAAGAAACAAAGCTGAAACAAAGTCCCCGGCATACCATGGAGATTAAGTCTGGCGCAATAACAAAAGAAGGAATAGTTACAGTTTGTTTTTTTTTATCGTATCATGTTGTTTATGCAACTTTTGCTACTGAGTTGTTCTTAGGGTAGCTAGTTGCAGCATCAATACATATACAGAAAGAACACTTTCATTTCAGAGCAGTTTGAGTTTTTCACAAAGCTGAACAGTTATTCTGCTCGTAGACAAATCTCAAGCAGAGATTCAGCTAAGCTTTCAAAATGTTAAACAGACAAAATATAATCCAGGATTTTTCAGTTTACAGACAGTTGCAGAAAGAAAAACACACACAGTTCTGGGTTGGCACAATAAAACCAAAATATATTGCTGTAGAAGAAAATGCTCGTGCCAAGAAATCTGTTAAGTTACACTACAATTACAAAACAAATATGGCCAGACACGGATTTTATCATCCTTAAACACACTTTACCTAACTTCTTACTGAATGCCTTAACAAAAAAGGTGGGTGATTTAAGCTGAACATGGAACATCTTTACATCCCTTATTGTATATATATAATTTTAATGCTACATCCTTTAGCACATTAAAGCATATGTGAAATGGAAAATACTTTCCCAAACTCAAGTTTCACTAGAGCAACAGGGCAGGCAGGGAGGGTCACATACCACTTTCTAGAGAGGAATCAGTTATCAGCGTTCCTTTATTAAAAAAGGTGAAGAAGAATATTTAAATCTTTATCCAATTATTGTATTTTCACCTGCCAAGATAGTTCCACTGATAATCATTAACTGTTGCTAAACCAAACTATGCTGTATATTCTCTGTTGCTGAGATGTCCTTGCATGGAGCTCTGCCTAAAGAACACAAAAGAAATAAGTCTTACTAAAACTCAGTACAGTTCCTATTGCATTGAAATATAAGAGCCATTTATATGGCAAATATGGAACATAAGGTAGAAATTCGTGGTATTCCATTTCATATTTCTCATTACTTCAGACTAACATCAAACTTACTGTGTTTTCTTTCAGAATCACTGGAAGACAAATGTCAAAAAATGGCATGTGAATGTGACCGTGAAGCTGCCAAATGTTTTTCTAAAGCTCCCTATCACACAAAATACCTTTTGTGGCCAGACTTTATGTGTGGCGAGATTCAGCCTTTGTGTAGATACTAGATATACAACATCAGTCTTTATGAAAACTCTGTATGTATTTAAATCTAAAATTACTTTTTTTTTTTTTGGTCACAGTAGTGACAAATGATTCTCCCCTTTCTTGATCTTCCTTCCTGCCACTCAGCCTCTTCTCCCCAGAATGGCCAAAGTAAACATTTATCCTCTTATTTACCTTCTACTGTGCATGGACTAAAAGCAAGTTCATTAGTCAATAAAAGCTTACACAGAACTAACTAGGAATGTGAGTTTATTCGTTTAAGGATTAAATGACTTAATTTAGTTTATATTCAGATTCACAGATTTTTCAGATTTATAAATATCACTCACTGTAAACTTTTCATCCCTCCTCCGCTAGCTATAAGATACAAACTTTTCCACTAACATGTACCTTAATATTTGTTAACTTTGAACTGACTGGAAGAAATACATGAAGTGACAGTGTCAGCACAGAGTCCTCTCATCTATATTAAACACTTACTAGGAAGCCTTTTTAACTTTCTCATCTCATTCACCTTAAGTAGTCCTACCTACATTAAAAATTGCCTAATATAATTCTTTTTTTCCTAGTATTTACTTTTTAGATACAGTTTTCTAAGAAGTTATTCATTTGATACGGATTGAACTCCTTACTCTATGTACACCTTGGAGTTTCCTGTAGGCACAGCATCTACCCTTAAAAATTCAGAGCCAGATTTAAAAGTGCATATGCAAACTATCCCCAAGACAGAGATATTTAAAAAGTAGCAGTTACTGAGACCAACTGCCTTCCCCGTAAGTGTTTGATCTTGGGCAGCATGAATTCGCAAAGTACAGAAGTGCGTATACCTTATAAGGATGCAAAGCTGGTTTTAGCTAGGGTCACTTCATGTTTTTTTGAAACCTTTTAGGAAGAGAAATCCATAACATGAATTGCTGAATAATACACTTTTTCATAACTGCCAATTTTAACAGTTCAAGAACCAGGAGTGTTCAATGTCTCCTTTCACTCAACTCACATAAAGCTGCAGGGCCACAGAACAAATTTACACCTGTCAAAGCTAACGACAAGTACTTCAATATAAAAAAAAAACACAAAAAACCCACCACTTCTTTAGGAAGGATGAAGATTTCAAAAAGAGATCTTTAATCTTAAAAAATATTCATAGGCAAATTTAAAGTTCATACTAATTATACAAATAAAAAAAAACGAAACAATGTAGAAAGCAAGGGGACAAAGTTCTTGAAAAATCTAACTTTTGCTTCAGTCAAAAAACATACATTAACAAATAGCAATCCTATATATACAAAACAACTTTCCAGTCTATATTCGCTCACAGATCTAGACACACATATTATATTGCTGTAAGATGTAATTACAGTGTCAGGTCGCTTTTCCAAAATAATCCTTTTAAGGGATAACCCTGAATTTAAGAATTAGCAACAGACTTCAAGAGGAGAGCATTAAAGAAGCTATTGATGAAGTCCAACTGATGAATAAAACTTTTGAATGGCCATCACCACATTTTCCAAAAGACAAGAAAACTCAAGAAGTCTTTGCCTTCAACAAGGGGAATTTTAGAACAAACTGTATTATAAGACTGTCTATTAAGACAGTCACAACTTTACACGTAAAGCAGACTGAAAACACTGAAAAACTTTCAATATCAAGCCTATTCAGGAGGAGTTTCCCTTTGGCAAACTTCAGTTGAGGAACACATGGTATGAAATGCTAAGTTAAAAAAAAAAAAAGAAAAAAAAAGAAAAAAATATTAAAAAATTACTGTATTCAAAGACACTGATTTTAAGGCAGGCTTAAAAATAACCAGAATGCTGAAGACAGAATAGAGTAGTTTGATTTGATCAAAAATAGAGTGACATGACTGGTAAGTTTTACATGACTAAATTAAGAATGTAGGGTTTTTTTTCTAACAGAAAATTGCTTTTGGATAATAAAGCCCATCCTCAGAGTTGGAATCAGCTGGTTTAAGAGTAACTTACCTTAAGGCCTTTTTGTATGTTTAAATTTACATAATCCATCACTTTCATTGCCACATATATAAAGAAGAAAAGCAAAATTTATTTCAAATGTCCAGTTTCAGAAGCTAAACAGCTCAAAAGTTCCAATGCCGGTTACTGCACTTGTGTCTCCAGATGCCTTACTTCTTTAACCACAAGATCAATGTTTATAATTGGGTTAAAGTACAAGGCCCAGTAAAACAAACAATTGCAGATGAACTGAGGAATAAAAGGCCAAAAAATGGCAACAAAAAGGCCCTGGGTTGAGACTTTCCAGAAATGTCTCCACATTCTGTGCGGAATAGTCCTGTGAAAAAGGAAAGGGAGAGGCTTAGAGGAGCTTCCCATTTTGCTTTTACCCACTCTAAGAAAAGCTAATGTGTGCTGCATCCTCAACTTATTTACACTTACTCAGGTACCTGTAAAACATCATTTTGCACTCCAGAAAAACTTTCTTAAAAACCAGTAATACTAGATTTTACATGAGGAAGCATTAAGTCAATTTATTCAGACCACAAAGCACAGCAAGTTACAGTGGTCAAATTCCAGATTTGTCATAGATTATTTCCACATCCCCTGTTCTCTTTTGAACATGTTCTGCCTCCTAGCTGCTGGCAGAGAAAGTGAAAACCCAGGATACACCAAAGCAAGAATTTCTCCCATGCAAGTTCCAAAAACTATGAATAAAAGATCACACCAATTATGAAGTAATATTAATATGCCTGACTTAAAGCTAGAGCAGTAACTGGAAAAAGTAATTTTGATCACCTATCGGAAATAATATCAGTGTAACTAAACTCATTTACAATCTAGAGGACTCATCCTTTAGTAACTACATTGTAAGCATATCATGACAAAATCCTTACGTATCTAGTTCTCAGCTGGCAGCTAATACCAGTTACCACAAAAGGCAACTGTCAAGGTAAGCGTTTATTTACCCAATGGTCAAAAACTCGCTCATTACCATGACTGCATTGGCTACATCTGATCAGAAAAAACAGCTATAAGAAATCCTTTCAAATATTTTCAGAAATAAAGACATTCAAGAGTGAGTACTAGTATATGTGCGGATTCAGATTCACACGTTCTCACTAACTTCAGAGTCATGGTCAGACATTGTCATTTCAGTGAGCAACTGTGGCACTTTCTATTTATAAGGCCATGTGCTTCCTACCCTCTTCAACAAGATCAGGAAGACTTACTTCAATTCTCTTCTTGACCAGAGCCTCCAAAAGGAGAATAATTCCAGAACAGAGAGCAACATGGCATTTACAATTATAAATCTAGATGTCCAGTAGTGCATATCCAGCCAATCCCAAGCAAATTCAGCTATTAACTGGTATGGCAAAAATAAATACTTTACGATGAATTCTCTCCACTGTTTCCTAGTAGGATCTTTAAGGTCCTGTAAAATTAGGATAAAAAGACTGTTAATTAATTTCCTATTAAACAGACACGATATTAGGCTTGTTTCTACTACTCTTTTGTTGAAAAACTGTTTTTTCATACATTGAAAGCAGTAATTTATCTTTACTATACTTTCTGGTAGATAACACCATAACCAAATAATTTCCATCAGATTAGATTAGAACATCACAGCCAACCAGACCTGATAATGCCATTTGTTAAGAAACAGGAATTTTGAGCAAACAGCCCTTCTATAGTCACAGGAATTTAAAAAAAAATCAGTTTCACAGATTTAGAGTCTTAAAAGCCTTATATCAATCTTATTAAAGATTATGATCACAACACTAGTAATCACATACAATAAAAATCAAGAAACCATTTACTTTTAGGACTTTTTTAAAAAAAAAAGTTGTAAAGAGATGAAATAGTAATTACATCATGTGCTTCTATGCTGCTAGTCTTAAAATTCTTAGAACTAAAGCAGTAGTGTATTTAATGTTTTGAACACTTACTAGTAGTTTTGTGACAATATCTTCATACTTGTCTTCTTGAGTAGGGCAGATTGTGTGGATGAAAGGTAGGAAAGCTTCTGCATAATCAAACAAATATAGGTATAACATGCTGAGTCTCGGAGAACTCTTCAGTGCATACAGAAGAAAGAGTGATTTTCCCGGATTTACTGCCTGAAAGGTATCAAATTACCAAGTTCCAAACAATGAAAAAAAAAATGAAAGCAACATGCCAGTTCTTAGATTCTTCTGACAATCACTTTTCAAAGGATTATTTTTCAAATACAACAGTTCATTAAACTGAGCTGTTTTTACAAGGGTAATTCTACTACCTTAACACTCTTCCTAGCTTTAAGAGAATTTTCTTTTAAAGATACTATTTTAAAAATACTTAATATACATGACAGATTTTTTATAAAATTTACCTTATATTCCCAAAGGTTCTGTGGTGGTTTAACACCTAAAGTTTTCACACGTTCCAGTTCCACCATAATAGCTTTTCTATGGTTACTGTTCTCTATACTGTAAGGCTCTTTCATGAAATCCTCCTCTGTCAGTGTTATAAGAAGTCTACAAAAGCAGAAGAATTAAGAAGGTAAACAGTGCCTCTTCACCAAAAAGATATGACTAACAAATTAACAATTACACACTGAAGCAATAAGCTACTGATAGAAGGTATCACTTTCTGGATTAATTTCCTTTTCAAGCGTTCTGAATCAACTGCATTTCAGAGCCTGGGTTTTAAATATCCTTCAAGTTTTCTCTTGCCTGCTTTCAGCATACAAATTTATCAGCTTGCTGGCTATCACTGGATACAGTTTTTCAGTACGTCACATTTCTTCTGGTCTGGTCTCCTCACATCGGACCTAGAGCTCTTGGGTGGAGTGCAACAATGCACATAACACACACATGTTTTCACAAGAAGGAAAAGGTGGGGGGGTGGATAATAAATTAGTAAAATTTTAATTTCAGTATAATTTCGGTCTGCATTATCAGCATATTAGAAAATTTTCAGTTGGCTTGCTTAGTTATCTACTACTAAGTCTTAAAAACTTTCCCTGCATTTTATTCTGATACATCAACGGAATATTCTCACAATCTATGGAATGAAGTACAGTTGTTTCACAATATACCATCCCTAATGAAAGCTATCCAGTAGTCCAATCAAATGATAGCTGTTCTTGACAATTAGGCCTCTCACCTTCCATTCACCTTCTCCAGTAAAAATCTTTCTTTATAACGTGAAGCCCATGGGCCCAGCTGCTCTAGCCAAAGTCTCACTTCTTCTGCAGTCCATTTAGCAACAGGCTTGTAGACAAGAAGATCTTCTTCAAATTCTCTGTTACTCCAGTGATATCCAAGTAGAACTACCTATAGGTAGATTTTTAAAATAAAAAGAAAAAAAAAAAGAAAAAGAAAAGAGATCCTTTACATGCAAAGCAAATATATTAATGATACAAATAAACACTCATTAAGAGGCTTGACAAGTAGAATTTTCCATTTATGGACCCTAGAATCTTCAGGTTGTAAGAAAATATCTTTAAGTTTTACCCAATTTGTCTGTTTGCTGTATATTGCAATTGTAGTTCCTGACAGACAATTCTGAATGCCACCTTATTTACTCCACTCGGCTCAAGTCTCTTCTACGCAGATGATCTTTTTCATGTGCATGTAATTTAAGTATATTTGATTGCATGCTTAATGAAGTAAATATGGAAAACCAACCAGATGAAACTTACTGCTACACAAGTTAAAGCTGTCAGAACGCCTGAGAAAAACCCTCCTCCTCGAGGATTAATTCTTCCTGTGTTCGGAACTGTAGGAATCTGGTCATTCCCATATTTTTGGAAGGTTGCTAAGCTGCGTGTTACATCACTGTTTTGTTGAATATCTTCTTTTCTTTGTTCAATGGCATCAGAAAATAGCTTTTCAATAACATCCCTAATGGGAAAAATATTTGTCATTGTACTATAACTGTTGAGGCTTAACATTCAGAAAAGGGACTAAGTTTTAGATTTTTGTTTTCCAGCCTCTACTAAAGACTGTCATCTTTGAAAGCAAGAAAACATTAGTTATTAATAGCAAAGTTAAACTGAAACCAATTGCTTCCAAACAATTTTCCTTAACTTCTAAAGATAGAGAAAGTTAAATTATCACATTAAAATAAATAATCTGTATTTCACATATAAAATTAGTATTGTTTGTGCTACTGGCAAGCCTTGATTATTCAAAAATGCTAAGCAAAAAAAAAACCCCAAAAACCTACTATCCATCCTATCATCTATTTATTAAAATGATATTAACCTAAGATAAAGTATTACCACAAGAACTTGTGGGTAATTCAAGACAGCAAATTGATATTTCTAGCTTTGTTCTGTGATAAAATCACATTTCTTCCTATAAATAATTCATATTATAGAAATAATCACCAATTATCAGAAGTTATTCTAACTTAGAATTATTAGGAAACCACCAGCTGTATTAAAAGATGCAAGTGTCTCAACCCTAAAAAGAATCCCTCCTCTCCATCCCAAAAAAATTCAGAAGGGGAAAAAACCAAACCAAAACAAACCCAACCAACCCACTGCTTAGTTCCATGCAGAAAAACATGCAAGTGCAGAACATGAAAGACTTCAGGCTTTAAACGTCTTTGAGACAGCTCAGATTACTAATGCAGCAAACTCAAGAAACCAGACAACAATTATGGTGGGTTTAGAAATCAAAAAATGGCATAGTACACTCACCTGAGAACAATGTTGACTTTGGGGAAGCCTTCCCATTTTTCCCTGCATTCGGGGCATTCATTCTTCTTGGACGATACCCACCACAAGGCTAGGCAATGTCTACAGAAACTATGCCCACAGTTCAGGGTGGTGGGATTGACCAGAATGTCATAGCAGCAGTGGCAGAGGAACTCACTAACTGATATCCGCCGACCGATCTCAGGAGTAGCATGTGTTTCAACTTCTGCCCTCTGTGTTTCACGTTGTAAAATCGCATCTTCTTCCATTTTCTCTTGTGCCTTGTGCAAACAGAAAGCTCTCTTAGATCTTCAAATTAGGTAAGGCATTACTTCTGCAAAGTAACAAGATAAATTTCATTAAGAAAAAAGTTACTATAGAAGTTTAGAATTGCAAGCAGTATAATTTATCATTGTAATTCTTTTGTCACTCTGAAGGTTTTAAACTTCGTAACTAACTTAGCTCTCTCCAAAATGAAACATGATCTACTTTTTCAACAACATATTCGTTGCAAACTACAATCAAAACCAGCTTCTGGATGTAAAGAGCTGGCTCAACCTCCCTACATTTTCTTTTCCTGTGTTAGATAACACATGAAAGTGAAACAAAAAAAACCTCACTATGATTCAGATGACTTTTGACAGTATCTTTAATCAAGGTTTTAGTAAAAGACACCAAGCAAAAGAATTATCATTAGAAAATATCAGAGAATACAAAAATAAAACACCAGTATAACATAATGATCTAATTTACTCAATCGCTATTCTTTCCAACCATATGGAATAAAACATTACTAACACAGGTCAATGCTAGACATTGCTGGGCAATGTTAAAAAAAATAATAAATTCAATCCACAAAGTCATACGCTTCAAAATTATAAGGGATTGATCTGCTTGCCATCTCAATAAAGGCCTCAACTCTGTATTAACATCTTAAGAGTTTAAGATGTTCCGAGCTTACAAAAAATATTATAAACCTATTTGCTTGAC